GGAATGCCCAGCTTTGAGGAAATACGCAGGTATTTCTAAAAAAACCAAAAAAACAAACAAAAAACAAATCAAAAAAACCCCACCACTCTGTCTTGCAGTATTGATGACCATGATCCCGAAAAAAAAAAACATTAGCCTCACATGTCACAAACTGAAAGAAATTAAAACTTTCACATAGAACCATCAGAGCTGATAAAATACCCATGTGGGCAACACAGAAAGGGGAAGAAACAGAGCACTATTTTCTCCTCAGGTCCCCAGCACTATCTGAAACAGGGCAATGTCCTTACTGCACTTGGCTTCATGTAGCAGCATTTTAAGAGGGTAGGGGAACAGGAGAGTGTTTTTGGCAGGGGGTTGCTTTTAAATAGCAGCCCTACAGCCAGGCACTCATAAGCACACGTGCACATACGCAAGAAGAAACCAAAATCCCATATACATTTCACTGCTTTCCAGACTAGTCTACTGCCTCTGGACCTACACTGAATTCTATATATTCCATAACCTGTTCCGATAATCTCACATCCTAAAAAATTATACCATATGCCACACTATGTTTTTATTTTGTAGCGTGAATGCTTTTATTTTACTATCTGTACAACTGGAAGCACGATCCACTTTACCTTGACAGGACAGTTTTCTCCAATCTTATTTCCCATCTTCCAAGTAGAACGAGAAGTCGTACCTTTCCACTACTGCTTTTTAACTCCTCCTTCCATCTTATAGCTCATGATTCAGTGTGCCAGTCAATTAAATATTATTTTGTTGTTCTTCCCATAAACTTAAACCACTATTTAGCTGTTGCTTACGAAAGGCAGAACCCTTAGATTGTCATGATTTGTGTGATGCAACAAGCACATACTGAAATCTTCAATGTGTCCTACACTTAAATAATCTTTTTTCAACCTTAAAAATTTCCCAATAAATCATAGAAAAAGTTTTGCATTACATCATTTGATTTTACTCTTCGCAATAAAATATAGAAAAAATAGAGCCCCTGAATACTAGCCAAAAATGTGATAAATAACGTAGCATAAGGTAAAATAAGAGAATAAAGGTATATTCCTTTGGTGGTGTAACGGAAAGTAAGATTTCAATAAAAAACTGATCTCTTATTTTTCTATTAAAGTTCCAAGATACTTCTGAAGTGGCCAACTTGCACAGACTTATTTCCTGCCTCAGTTAAGGAAAAAAACGTAAATTTATTACAAGATGACAAAACTATGGCCAACTACTTAAAGGCAAGTAAAGTGATAACAGAACTTTCAGCAAACCAGAACAAAAGCTTTATACGAATAAAACACAAAGAGTAAGGAAAAAGATATTTACTTTCTTAATTACTGTCTTAATTCACTTCCTTAAATCTATTCCAAGAGATAGGAATGAAGGAAAACTGTCCTTCGAGCCAGATATCCCAGCCAATACCAGCATGAAGTCAAGAGCATGATCTCTCATTACTAATCCCCATAAAAGCCAAGTTCCAGTGACAGAATATTTGATTTTTAAAGCCATTCAAGTCATAAAACATGCTACAGGGCTAAAGTGCTCATGATGTGACTCATTTAAAAAATAATAATTTTGAATTATATTTCTTTAGATTAAGTGCAAAGAATCATGATGAACAAAGTCAACACTAACATTAAAACTGGAAAATCAGTTTAAGAGCTAATCACAGATGAAAGAGAGAGAGAGAGAGAGAGAGAATCAACAAACCAAGGGAAGGCCTGAAAAATGAGGTGGAGCAAGGAAAGAATGGGCCAACATTATATGAAAGGCACACGACATCCTTTCCATTGCACACCAAGAAGCACGTGGCCCTGCAGGAAAAGGAGCCAATCCCATATTGCAAGAACAAAGGCGGCAGTGTCAAGGCAGCAGCACTTCAGCATTCGCACTTGAGGAACACAACAGAAAAGAACCAGGAACCTGGGAGCACTCCTAACTGGACAGACGATGACAATAAGCAAGTGGAACAAAAACAACAAAAAAAAGTGTCTGAGAAGAAGGTATCCCAAGAATGATGTAACAAAAGGAGAATAAAAAAATCCAAGGAGCAACAAACTGCCAGAGGGCAGGAAAGAAGGGAATTCAGCTGGAAGCACTGAAGTAGCAAGGGAGGATGCAATAAAGAATATGGTAGCTTGGAGAAGCCATTAATTAAAGTACATGAGAGGCTGGAACTGAGACTAATAAGCCACAAACAAACAAGAGCTTTGGAAGAACAGGACGGAGCACATCATTGTAAATTGTTCCTTTGCTGTTACAGGCAGCACTCTGGGCAACAGCAACAAAAACATAGTAAAAGCAATGAGGTCAGTACATGCAGATATTTCCAGGGAGTAAAGCTCAGAACGAACCATGACTAAAACACGCACCAAATCAAAAGGTAAGTATATTTGAAATATCTATATTTATACAAACATATATTCTGCCCTCTCATCACACACAACTCTATTGCTATCTTCTGGAATAACACATCAAAATAATAATAATAAAGAAAAAATCAAAATTGTGTTGTCTTTTTAAATTTTCATAAACTCTTTAGAACAGCAAATAACTACTTTAAAGATGATTTTTATTTAGTTTTTGGTATCACAGTTAGAAGCGCAAAAAACATATTTTAAAGAAGAAAAAGGTAAATCTAAAATTTAACGACCTTAGTAGCTCCTCAGTGTCACACTGGAAAATTTTTCAGTAAGACTACTTCTGTGTACCTTACATCTGCATATATTCACCTAGGCTTGTGTCCTCTTTCATGTACGTAGATTTCCCAAATCAATATATGCAAAAAAGCCTATTTTCAGAGGAGTGTCCTTTCAAGAATACTGAAAGATATCTAATTTCTCAGAGGGCATCAGGATCAGCTAAAGAAACAAGCTACATGCAAAAAGCTGAACCTTTATTAAAAAAAAAAAATAGATGTAGTAAAAGCAAGAATAACTTGCAGCTTGAGTGCATTTTCAACCTACCGCTTCTCAACAGGAGTCTGTCCCTGGAATGCTCTGCCCTGTAGAGCTTGACCTGCTTCTTCACGACTTCTCTCTCTAAAACCACATTCTTTCCCACCATAACTGGATGTCCGGAAAAAACAAACAGCTTCACAGTTGCTCCCTACCACCCTTCCCCACATAGTGACACCAGTGGTCAATGAAATAAGCGGAAATGGATCCAAACTCCTATTTCTGCTGTTTACTGCCCCCCAACCCACTCTTGTGCCAATAAAAACTACCCTAGGCATCAAGTTAAGACACTGAGGAAAGGTGGGGTTCGGCACGGAGTAACAAAAGAAAGTCCTGTTTACGAGGACGGGGAGCACAGTAGGGCAAGAGAGAGCACGGGAAAAGAAATGAAGTGAAATGGCCTTTTTAAGTAAGCACTAACTCACCTAAGGACAATTCAAGACTTGGTTCTTTATTCAGTACTGATAATTTCAGTAGTTTAAAGAAAATTCTTTCCTGTTGTCTATGTGGGTCCTTTCATACGCTAGGGAAAAGCAATGTAGAAAAACTAGTAAAAAGGTTTAGCCACACAATGTTATGAGAAGAAAAGGAACCTTTACTATTTCAGGTACAATAGCCACATGTGTCCAAAGTAATACTAAAAAAATGCACTTCTGTTTTACACAAGCTTTATCATAGTATACCATTTCAATTTAAGAACTTTGAAACACATTTCTGGAACCTCCCTCCTTATATTTGAAAGTCTGTGTAATGTGGCAGCACTGGGGGAACACCATGTCTTTAAAAAGGAATCTCTTCTTTGTCGCTGCTGTATTAACTTATGTATAACAAAAAAAGTGAACGCATAAAACTGCCTACTAAACTCAAACCACAATGCAAAACAATGATTCAAGACTATGTCTGCACACTTTTCACAGCAATAGGGAAGCACAGAACAAAAAAATTTGCAACACCAAGAACCTGGAAACCTGCTCATTTTCAGGCTAATAAACGTAACTTAGTAACAAAGATGAGCCACTCTTTAATACTGGATAACATCAGGGACGATAACTGCATTGCCTGCTATTCAGAGAGCAAGCTAGTAAGCACCCCCAAACTAAAACCCAAGGTGAAGTGTAAAAGTACTGCAGAGAGCAAGCGGCAGGAGAAGAGAACAGGTTTTCCAACTCAAATTGCAGAACCTGTCCAAATTCATATCTAAGCCCTGGGTAAAGTATTCTGGGAGGAGTGGGGAGCGGGAGAAGAAATGAAATGATAACCTTCAGTCTTCAGTCTTCCCAGAAGCAAATTATTCATTTCACCACTCTATCATTTGCTCCTTTTGAGGGTCTATTTTACATAGACGCATGAGAACCATGGGGTTTTGAGGCAAAGGGGAGAACGGCCATTTCCCTTTTACTTACAGCCTTGCCTTAGAACCCTGAAGAGACAGCATGTCTGGGCACAGCATGCCTTAGAAACAAGAGCAAGGCAAAATGTGGGAATCTTGTCAGCTTCTTTTTTGCTACTGAGGTCATTATAGGAAAATCAAAACCAGGCAGTGATGGGGAGCAGGCCCCCAGAGAGGGAATGGCGCACCAGGGAAAAGATATAAGACAAGAGGTCTGGGAAAAAGCCAGCTCTTGCACTTCCCAAACCTGTAACTACTTGGAAAGAAGTGAAACAGCATCACCTAGAGATAAGCCCCTGGCACAGATGAGGAAAGATCAGGGGTATTTCAGTGTGTCCCAAGCCTGACAAATGATCTTAGGTCTACTTACCTGTTTTCAGTATGATATAACATGGTAGGAAGGTAAAACTACCTTTTAAGTCCTGAAGTGTCTTCCCTGGCTTTGCTCTCCTGATGAAGTCTCTCTGCTACAAAGATGTATCTTTGTTTACAAATAAAGAGGTACAGCTCAGTTTTATGTACTTATAAAATCCACAGAAAAGAGGGAGCACAGATGCATGATCTACTGAAAGAAATCTAGTGTTTAGTGATTAGTAGATACCAAACACCCAGGCCACTGTTAACAATACTCTCATTCAACCTGCCTTCTCCAATTTTCATAGAGTCGTCTAACAAGCCCTCAACAATTTTAACAAATTTCATGTGTCCAAGAACATTTGCCTAAGCAGGCTTTACACACACAGACGGCACAGTCAGTACCCTGGGTCACTACTCAGAGTCAGTATTCATTCCTTACTTTTGGGACATATTTTATTTATGCATTTAGAAATCACCCAAGGCAGCCAAACTACAAGTCACCTACACACAATTAATTGTAGTTACTTGTTCACACACCTACAGAAAAAGAAGGATGATAGATGCGACTAACAAGTACAGAGATCATAGCATTTGTTAACAGAGCACCATTACTATTGATGCAAACTCAGACCTTTAAAAGGTCAGAGGTTTTAAAAAATACACATGGGTACAGAGACAATCTATTAGTTGGATATATTTTCCTTTCCCTATAAAAACCAATAATTCCTTTATTCTTCAGGTTTCCATTCTTCCTTAAGCTTCTAAGAAGAGGAGAAAGGTAATGATGTCTACCAAACTTCTGTCACTCAGCTACATCTCAGAGGATCAATTTAAGTTTTAAACTCCTGTGAATGAGTTTAAAACTGAATTGAGCTGTGTGAATGAGCTGTGAAGCATATCAAATATAAGAAGCTGCTGAAGGTAAGAGACTATCATAAAATTTGTGGCTGTCAGACAACTTTCTTTGCAAAATAAAGAGAGATTTAAATTTGACCAGATATGAACCTCGGGCAATCAAGCAAAATAACACTTCATCCACTAAGCTATTTCTGTTGCCTAAAAAGACTATTCACAAAATCAGAATCACTGAGGAGAAACATCTTTACAAAAACACTCGTAAATGATAGCATAATTTTCTGAAACTTATCTGCCTCTTAGGATCAGTGTATTTACTTCTACACTCATAAGTCTTGCACGTTTCCTGAAAAGCTGTTCATCTCATTTCTGCTCTTACCAAGAGCCTCTAACAGGATGTCGCAACTTTCCATATTTCTGGAAACAGTTTTGCTAGTCCAGAAGAAAAAGATAGAGCTCTTTCAGGATCACAGTGACGATGCGCCTTCAGTTACTGCAAAGAGGTGATTCTGAGAGGTCATAAAAACAAAAAAAAAAAAAACAACTTCCTTCCCAAAAGAGGTGCACATTACTTCTGCAATGATTTCAGTCTCAGGCACAGAGTAAATAAGAGACTAAATTCCATATAAAACTCTAATGGCACTCTCTCATCCTTCCCCCTCTACACCATCCAAATAACATTTGAACTGCTGCTTAAGCACTCTCCCAGGATATGTGGGAGGCAGCAATCACTTAAAAATATACCCTACTGTACCTACTGGAACATGGGAAATGTTTTAGGCAGCAGTAACAGGTAGCAGCTTTCACTGCTTTCTGAAAGAGACAGAGGGTGCCAGAATGCACAGAAGATGGTGACATTAGTCTTTCCTCCAATGACAAACATTGGGAGTTGTGTCCTTGCTGCTTTGCCATACAACAGAGGGAAACTAAGGGGGATTCACGAGTTTCAGTAAACTGCTGGACAACTACTGTGAAGGATATCCTGCCAAACTCTATTTCTAGGACTTGGGGTGAGGTGGGGGAAGAACAGGGAGCAACAGTGAATAAAATTTACCCATGTTTCAATTATCAACGTTAAAACCTGTGAATGCTACTCTCTCCAAAGGAGGAGATAAAGCTCGTTGGCAACAACAGAATGACAAAGAAAAGGACTGGGGGAGGGAGGAGATTATTGCAGGGCACGCAAACTCCAAGATGAATTCTACCATTAGCATAAGACTGCTATACCAGGTCAAAATACAATTGCCTGGTTCACTGAATATGGAAAAAAAGTGAAGAAACAAGCTGCAGTTGTAACTTGAAAAACATATCCCACAAACTACCTATTCTGCTTGTGAACCAGGGAGACTGACGGGGCATATCACCGTTTTAGCAGTGCAGAGTACTTATTACCTACCTGAGACACATGGTTAAATGAATATACTGTGTTACTCAACACAAATATAAGATTACAACATAGCAAAGTTGGCTTTATTCTACTTCCAGCAGCAAAAGAGCATGGAAATCTCTATTTCTGTTCTCTAACTTTTATAACTAGCACCTCTCTCAAGTTTTTCAAATTAAAGAAACACATATTCCCTAAATTAAAACATAACAAGGGTTACAAATTCTACAACCCATGGCAAATGTGTTTTTTTTAAAACATATCTAAGTTTTGCACCATTAACAAGTTACCTTTTGTAATTTATTTGCACTGTACTATTAATATGACAAACCATATACACCAAACAGTGCGTGAAATCCAACTAATTCTTCCAGGACTCAGTTTAAACTAATTTTCTCAGGGGGAAATATACCATTTTACTTAACTGTCAAATCCCACCTATTCACTCAGTAATATTTGCTTAGAGTGCAACTGGATTTAAAAAAAAAAAAAAAAATCGGCTAATACCAAAAACATGCTTGCTTCTGTAGAAAGATGAAAATTTTACAGAGACAAATTAACCAGTAAACTTACTTTCCAAATACAGATATAGAAGACAGGATTAAGGGTATGGGCAACACAATCAAACACGATCAAATTACGCAACCCGTGTAAGTTACCACCCATCAGTATTGCCAAAGGAATTGACTCTAAGTGTTCTTCCCTAGCTTACCACAATTGCGAAGTGCAACACGTTAGCTCAAACCTCTATATTTAAAGTTTTACCTCACATTTCAGACGTGCAGTTAACATCACATAGTTATCACAATTAGCCGACAGGCAGAAACTTGTTACTTCACTGCAACGTAATGGTACACGGTCAGAAGTCTATAACCCGAAGAACAGAAACTGAACTTCTGAGTAAAATTGGAACCTAAGGCAGCCAAAACTGCTAATGATTTTTACTGAACCGAGTGAACAGTTTCAACCAAAACAAACTGTTCAACTTGCATAAATATAATGCTGCTGGTGCTTTTCTCTTCCTCCCTAAGCTTTTTTCAGAGAAGAGGATACCAACCTAATAGACTAGGGGATGCCTAAATTACAGCAGTGGTTTGAACTTGGGTCTCCTCCCATTCAAGAAAAAGCTGTAATCACGAAATCGGTTCAACAGAACCCAAATAATCATGCAACTACTTGATGCAATGAATGGCATCTCCTCTCACATGCAGACTGGTAAAGAGCTAACGGCTGCCCCCTCTGCATGAGAAGATGCAGTAAAGCTGGAGAAAGATCACTTCTAGGATACATAGCAAGTCCAGTGCAAAACTCGTGGTTGCTGCCGTTAAAGTTGCCATTATAAAGCCATAATTCTCTTTCTACAATGGTATTGTACAATGGCGCTAGTTTGGCCAGTAAGTTCAGGAATTCTTGACCCACAGGGTATTCTGGGATAACCTTGATCTTCTTTGTTGAAGCCATTCTACTCTCAATAAAATAATTTAACTATTCAGTGAAGTAGAGACTGCTATACCTCTGTAGTCCCTCCAACCTCTGTGCAGGCGAAAATGAGAGAAGACATCCGATTCCTCTGTCTACCTCACTACAGTACTACCCATACACTCACTTCCCCATCACTCTGTGAATAACATTGATACCCTTGCCAAACAGCTCTCTGACTTTGCACGCTTTCATTGAGAAAGACCAGAAATGTAACAACATTTGACTGTAAATTTTCCCCTCATCAAAAAAGTCTGAGATGTTTGAAATTTTAGTATGTATCATTTTGCTTGCACAGCTTTAGACACACACTGGGCAGTTCAGAGGACAATTTAAGAACTGGACTTTATGTCATTATCTAATATCATATACACGCCTTCTATGATCAACATAGAAATTACACAAAGGACCCCAAACCTGAATTTACGAACGTGCTAACTTTACGCATAAATAGTCCTACGGAACTACTCATATGTACAAATGAATGCACAGAAGGGATTTTAGCAAGTACAGTTTTCTTCCTCTTAACTGGTGTTCAGACGAAATTCCATGTTTCAACACCATGTTTCAGCATACAGTTATCAGAATTTCACACAC